ATTCTCTCGGATCAGAACCAGTTCATCTGGAAACAAACAGAAAGCGAAGCATTTAAACACAGGAACTCATATGAAGAGTGTTGAGTTAAAGCCGCAGGGTTTCCCAAACAGGCTTCCTGAGCTGATGAAAACCTAATAATTAACTAAACCAAATGAGAATTTATATATACAGTATAAATGAGGCTGCACAATTAATGCATGATATATGATATAGCTTAGTGTGATTATCAAATCAAAGTTTGATGCGTTGCGTGTTTCAGAGTGAAGCGTGTCACTGTGTTCATTTACACGCGAGCAGCTTATAAAACAGTGCTTTCAGCGTCTCAGTTCACAGTAAATGCTGCTTCGCATCAACACTGACTTTAATGTGCATTGGAGAACCCAATGTGTGCTAAGTTTACTTTATTTACCAATACTTTTCTGCGGACAGAAGTTTACAGCATTTCATTTTGTATATTTTATTTGTTTAGCTGCATGTCTTGTGATCATTAACTGACATCAGAGAACCGTGAATGTTTTGTCAAATTATTGAAACATTAATTTAAAGAACTCGAGAAATACTTTCACTGACAGAAACTCTGGGAATTGCTGGTTAAAGGAATAGAGCGGTCACACTGTAATGACGAGAGAGTTTCTGTAGTTTGTCATGTAGATGTACAGCAGCTCAGATGATTGATCTACTCACCATCATAACACACAAAGTGATGCAGTTCTCTACAGAGCTCGTCTGTCCATTGTCCTTCATCACTGATACCAGTTGATGCGCAGATGCTGTCCTTTTTAGCTCCGATATTGGGTTCATGTTTTTCCCAGTGTTTGAATGTGAAGTTGCTGTTATCTGACCAAACCCAGGATCTGTACAGACCGATCCAGGCTTGTTCAGGTGAAGTTATGATGTTCTTAATCTGATGATTCTCATTCGCATTCCTCACACTGGCCAGATCTGTGTGATACTGTGTGCAGTGTTTCTGAGCTTCAGTCCAGTCCTTTTTCTCCCGTACAGAGACGAATTCTTTACTTATGCCTTTAAAAGAGAAAGACATTTGTCTGATATCGATTTAGAGAATTAAATACAAGTTCTTTCTCCTCTCATTTACCAAAAACAAAAAGACAAATCCAAATGTGGTTCATTATTGAAAACTGAAAGTGTTTCATAATGAAAATAATCAAGTATTTTAGAACATTTCTGTGTTTTAATCACATAATCAAGTCAAATTTATTTCTGTAGCATTTAAAATAAAATAAGTGTCAGTGTTGCAAAGTTCATCAATTCAGAAACCAATTCAATTGAGGTATAAGCAGCTCTACTGAAGATAATAATTTGGTTAATTAATAGTGCAAAGTTCATCAGATATGAAACATACAGCTGATCTCACCATTATAGCAGATGAAATGTCTTGTTGTACTACATTGGTCATCATGCCATTTTCCATCATTATCCATATAAACACAGTCTCCATCTCCATTTGGTTGTGATGGTTCCCAGTTCCTATACTGAGATTCATTTTCTCTGTAGAAGTCAGAGTCACTCAGAGACCAAATCCATGTGTCCTTCAGCCCAATCCAGACACGGCCAGCACTGCTGTTCTCTCTCTGTATGAGCTGATTAATGTCATTCTGTTCATTCCTGTCATTGATAGTGACCAGATCTGTGTGTTTGTCTCTGCAGTAACTCTGAGCTTCAGTCCAGCTCATGTTCTGATTCACAAAGTGATACTGACGCGGAGACGAACTGACCACGGCTGAGGACAGACACATTCACACAGATCTCACTCATTATATCCACACTGTATTTCAAGAGCTCAGAGTTTCAGTGTGTGTTTGATAAAGTGTTCTGAATGGTGCTTTTGTACGTTCAGTGTTTCCACAGGATTTGGTGAGAGTGTGGACTTCTAGTGGAAGAAACCTGAGTGCATTTTAAAGTTAAACACATTAAACTGCTCTGGCCACAGGTGGAAACCCCTGGTCTAGAGGACTCATGGGAAACACTGACGATGTTTTGTG